AAAAATCCTACAATCTGTATGGAACCACAAAAGACTCCAAAAAGCAAAAGCAACCCTGAACAAAAATAAAGCTGGCAGAATCACACTCCTAAATTTCAAAATACACTACACAGTTGTAGTAACCAAAACAGCATGGTACTGGCATAAAAACAGCAACACAGACCAATGGAACAGAATAGATAACCCAGAAATTAATTCACGTATCTATAGCCAATCAATTTTTGGAAAAAAAAAATGCCAATAACATTCATTGGGGAAATGCCAAGAACATTCATTGATATTACTGAGAAAAAAATCAGTATTTACATTCCAATAGTAAGAATATAGTTTGTCACACATTTCTTTATAAATGGAGGGGGGAAGAAGACCAGAATTCATTAATTTCTTGACAAACCTGACTCCCCCAAATTAATAAAGCACCATCTGCATCATAATACCTTATTCACCTCTCTTGCAAAATCAGTCTTTCTTCCTAAAACTAAAACTGATTTCTGCCTACAAAATGTCATTTTAAGAAAACAAGAACAGGAAAGGCCTGGAGGCTTACGCCTGTAATCCCAGCACTTTGAGAGGCAGCGGCAGGAGGATCCTTGAACCCAGGAGTTTGAGACCAGCCTGGGCAACAAGGCAAGACCTCCTCTCTACAAAAATAATTAGCCGGGCATAGTGACATGAGCCTGTGGTCCCAGTTACTTGGGAGGCTGAGGACCACCTGACCCTGGGAAGTCGAGGCTGCAGTGAGCCATAATCGCACCACTGCACTTCAGCCTGGGTGACGCAGCAAGAACCTGTCTCAAAAAAAACAAAAGAAGAACATATGAGATAATAAATGATCTGAGGAAATTAGTATTTTATTATTTAATACTTTTAATGTTTAAATGCATATACATTAAAATGACCCAGAATTTTTTAAAAAACACACTTAAGTATTTCATAATTAGAGATGGCAAAAAACTTTTAAGCCATCTGATAAGAGAGCTTCCCTTACGTTTTATAAGACCATTGCTGTATTTTGGTACATTTGACTTCGGTACACTTAAACTTCACTTTCAGGAAGACAGAGAGGTAAGTACCTATCCTCACTACACAATGTTTAACTATGTCCTCAACAGTGTGTCTACACCAGCTGGCTGTAAGTTGCATAAGGGCAAAACCTCGTCTTAGTTTCATCTTTTCCCCTCCCCCACCCCCCAAAAAAATCTCGTATAGTGCTTGATATAAGCATGTTAAAGCAACTCTTACCTGATTTTACACCTATTTTTTGGGGAGGGGGGGGTCTTTTTTTTTCCTTTTTTTTTGGAGAATGGGGTCTTGCTATATTGCCGAGGCAGGTCTCAAACTCCTGGGCTCAAGCCATCCTTCCACCTCTGCCTCCCTGAGAGCTGGGATTACAGGCATGAGCCACCAAGCTCAGCCACTACTTACCTTCTTTTAACAGATGCCTGTTATATAATCAAGTCAAGAAAATTATTAAGTTGCAAGGACTTGAGCTAATCCACCCTTCCTTTTATAGAAAAGGAAACTGACATGTAGAGAAACAAAGTGATTGTCAATGGTATAGTCAAGACTAAAACCTCAGGTCACCTATATTGTTTTCATTACAGTAATACTGGGTTTCCTTCCCATAACTTTTGTAGAATACATATACTGGGTGTTCTAAGTAATTCTCTATTCCCTAGTAAGTTGCTATGATAACTAATATCAAAAAAGGTGAAGTCAAAAATTGGTATTTCTCTGAGAAATACCAATTTTCTCAGAGAAGGGAGATAAACATATTCTAAAAGAGAATGCCCAAGCATTGCTTACACTTTCTTCCACCATCCCCATTAAGCTTTCAAAGGCAATGCCCCCTTTTCTTCCCTTTCTTCTAAACTATTAGGCTATAGATTTCTCACGTTTAACAAAAACAATCCAAGAAGCAGGTGACTCCTGAAATACTGAAATTCCTGAGGGCCACATCTACCAGAGAACTGCTAGCTTTAAGTTTCGGGAGGGAGCACTGGTGGGGAAGGGAGACTTCAAAGGCATTGCTATACTGATTACTCCTTGCTCTTCACCAGTCATCACCACACTGCTCTGGGCTTCTGAGACCCTTCTTTCTACTCTTCCCTCCTAAACCATTTTACTGTGCTGTTTGAAACCCCCTTCCACTGTGAACCAGCTCCTCTAATCCTCAACTTCTTTACTGAACATTCCTGCCTTTACCTCATCTTCACTAAAACCCGGCTCTTCCTTGAGGATACTGCTTTCCCTGTGCAACTTGCTAAATGAAGGCTCAATCGTTCTCTCATACTCTACACACCTAAGGGAGGCGGGGGGAGGTCAGTACCCACTGCTCACCAAACTTTATTTCAGAGGCCTTGGGCAAAAGTCTTGGCTATTCCACTATGTCATTCTCTATCCTTCCTCACTTCTTCTATCTACCATCCTCCAGTTACCTCACTGCCCTTTACCACAGACTCTTACCCCAGTCTTCCTCTCCACCCCTAGTCCTGCCATCATCCTGGGTGACTTCAATGTTAGGTAGAAGTGCAATCCAGTATCACGGCCTCATAGTTTACTTGACCTCACCTCTAGCAATCCTAATCTGACTACACAGTAGGCCTTTGCCTCATGGCCTATCACTGGCCATTATAATCAACCTGAACTGCTATTTCTCTGAAATTCTAAATTCAACATCCAATACACACACACACACCCCCCCACACACCCACCCTGCTATCCCGCGCATTCATTCTTTCTCTCTCTCCCCTGCTCTGACCACAATCTCCTATCATTCTGGCATGTATTTATTCCTACTACTCTTGGTTCTTAAACCTAATTTGGGCCTTGAGTTCACTGACCATCTACTCTCCTCCTACCTCTCCTACCTTTTTCTATTCACATCCTTCAACTTAGATGCCACAGTCCATCACTTCAAATTACTCTCTCGCTATCAGCCTCGACTTTCTTGACTTACTGTCCTTCCATAGGGCCCACCTACCAAAACACATCCTTGAGTCACTACAACCATTTGCCTTCTCTGAATCCATACCTAGGTTGTTTGGCACAGTCAAAGAAAAGTCACCCCACCATTTAGACCACCTTTCGACCTTGATTAGGTTCCTAATACAATGCCTTTGGTTTCCCTAGTCAGAGGTATTGCAGACCTCTTCCACCCAATCATGACCTAGTCCATTCCTAGCAAATGAACATACTGCTTTAAATAAACATAAACCAGCAAATAATTCCCTCAACTTTCAGCCACAAAACCCTAACAGTATGAGTACCCACACTTTCCTTTCCACTCACTACAATCAAAGCTGTATCCTTCCTTGTAATGCTAATTCTTCCACCTGAACCAGGGAGCACATTCCCTATCCCCTTCTGACTTTCTGCCAGCACCTGTAATCAGATTTTCCCCTTCTCATCTTAAAAAAAGAAAAAAAAAAAAAAAAAAAAAAGGCCCTTCCTCCACTACATACTCTCCTTCCTGCTTGCTAATATTTTAATTTTTCTCCAGTAAAACACTCAAACTTCTTAAGAGTAATCAACATTTACTACTGATTTGCTCAAATCTCATTCATTTCTCAATCCTAGCCATGCCCAAGCACACCACACCATTTGCCGCTGTCATGCCAACACCTTCCCTCCTTTTTGACCAACTTGCAATCCTTAACTGACCTCTCTAGTATTTGATAATTTTGACCTTCCACCTTCAAGTAGTCCTCTTCTCTCGATTCTCCCCAGTTGATATCTGGGGCTTTCATTTCTATCTCTAAGCCCACGACAGACACATATAGCCAAGATCTCTCTCAAGAGCTGCATAGGTATAATATCCATAACTTACTGGATATCTTAAAGGTATGTACATCAATACCAACATATTCAAAACCGAATTTGTATCTTCCTTCTTAAATCTACTTTAATCTCTCATGTTCCCTATCTCAGTTTCTCATACTGCCATCCATACATGTGCACATGCCAAGAATGAAATCCAGGGTTCCTGGGGTCATCTTTACTTCTTCCCCTCATCCTTTACGTCCTTATCCATCAAACACCAAGTCCTATGTCTCTGTGCTCATCCCACTGCCTCAATGTTCATAATCTCCTCTTTCTTACATTACAGCAACTGGTCTACCACTGTTCCAATGGTGATGAGCTGGACTGTACTGCTGAAGCACCAGCACTTACATACATAAGCATATTCAGTAAATTTATCCTAATCACTATTTTAGAGAAAACGTAGCCAAATCAGAATACTAATAAAGAGCACATGTGCAAATCACCTTATGCAAATCAGGTATGTGTAAAATGGATAGTCAAAAGAAAAAAAGGAGAATTGGTACTTTTCAAAATAATTCATAATAGCATAACTCAATTTATACTTTTCAACAAAAAGTCTACACTCAATATGCCTAACTTTATACCTACCACTGGAAAAGTACTATACTATATTGAAATATTTAAAACATGCTACAGAAATGTTCTTTAAAAATTAAATATGATAATTTCTGGGATAACAAAAACACATCTGAAAATATTTTAATATCTCTTGCTCTTCATGTTATCAAGAAAAACAAGTGAAATAAATAAACAAATAGGTACTAAAGTCAATTCTTATAAACAAAAATATTTTCTATTAATAGTTCCATAGTGCATTATAAAAGTGTAACTGTGTGGAAAAGTTAAGGGTGAATGCTGAGTGCAAGAGAGTTAGAAAAACCACTACAACCTTTAAGTGAGAAAGTGGAGAAGACTTCTTATCAATGTGACATACTAGACACTATAAACATAACATAAAACACAAAATGTAGTGGAATGTTCCCTAAGTCAAAAAGTGGTATGAAAGCACAAAATGCATATAGATTGGATTACCTGAAGTTTTACTCAGCTCTGCTGAAAATATAGCAGATGGTGATCTGTCCTCCTTTTCTGTATCAGAAGGAAGATTTTTCTCAGCTTCTTTCATAAGAACTTTGGGTTTAACTATGCCGCCTATCTCTGCTTGAGTGGTCAAAGCAGAAACATCTGGAGGCAATAAGAGCACCTTTGATGTAGCAGACCCATTTTTGGAAAAGTCATCTGAGAAACCAATTTTCTCTTCAACTTTGGGTTGTACGTTCTTCAAAGAAAGGTCATGGGGCAATTCTGTGCAAGCCAATGACCCAGCTCCACCCGGGGCATTAGCAATTTCACTTTTGTGGGATACTTCTAGGTCAGTATATTCCCTGGCTAATTTAGAAAATGAATCAGTTTTAGAACTGATCAATGTAGGGAACTCATCTATAATTTCAATTGGAGACGAATCTGAAAATGTTTCAGTTTCTCTTACTTGTGCTTCCTTAGAAAGAAATAAGTCATCATCTGAATAAACTGCAGTACTGAGCTCCTCCATCTGCAAAGGAATTTTCTCCTTTTTGCTCAATGTTGAAACTTCATCAGGTAACAGGGTATGTTTTGTGTTATCTAAATTGAGCTTAAAAGATTCCAAATATGGCTTTCCTCCCTCGGGTGGTAAAGCACTAAGTTTTTCCTTATTTTCATGTTCTATCATTGACTCAAATGAAGTTTCAGGGAGATTTTCTTTCACAAGCATCACAGCTTCATCTTGTTTTTGTGGAACGTCAGGTATGGAATCATCACTAAATAAGTCAACCGGTTCAGAATCAGGTGAGGAATCTTCAACTAGCTCAGAATGATCAGGCACTGGCTGTTCAACTTTTGCCATTTCTGAATAATCAGAGAAATCTGGAGTTGGTTCAGCAGAAAGCTTTGTTTCTTTAATTAAATCACATGCAATAGATATATAAGGAGCTTCTGTTTCTTGAACAGCTGCATTAATGCTTTCAGGCTCTTTAATTTCTTCCTTTATTCCTGATACTTTTTTTAGTGATACACTCATGGCCTCTTCGTATGGTGGGGGGTTTTCAGGTTCATGTATTATGCTTTCATAATTAACTGAAGAAGCTTCTAATGGTGATGAGCTGGGCTGTACCGCCGAAGCACCAGCACTAGGAACTGCAGAATTCAATGGTGCTTCCATAACAATGTCAGGCAAAACTGGCGAAGGAGTAGCTTCTGATTCTTCAAATGATGGGCAAAGCTGTGCTGCAGGATAGAGGGACTCTTGCATAACTTCTGATGTTTGAACCAAGTCCATTTTTGTTTCATAAGCAATCTTTGTACCAGTAACTTCGTTCAATTCACTTTCACATGCTTCCTGTACTAAATCTGGAGTCAGGCCTTCAGGCATGTTTGCCACTACTTCCTCAGTCACCTTTCCTAAATTATCTGTTGTGACATAATCTGTCTCAGAATCCTGTGCTGCTACAAGAAAAGGGTTTGATGTTTTGGTGCTAGTATTCTTCTCTGTTACTATTTGGGCCTTCTTTTCTTCTATTTTTTTTTCATCGGTCTTATTTTCTGAAGTATGATCTCCTAACAAAGGAAAAATGTTTGTTGCAATGCTCTCAGTTGCTGCTGGGTTAAAAGGAGCACATGTGATATATGCTCCTGAACGATCCTTTATAGCTTCTGGTGTACTGGGGAAAGAAGTATCATCATTACTACTCTCACTATCTTTTTCGTGATTAGTTTGGTCTAGGCTATCTGCAAAACCTTTTTTATCCACTTTACTTTCCAACTTGCTCTCGATTTTACCTCCAGCAGCCAACACATCACTATCTTCCTTACTATCTTTCACTTCCCATACTCGCTCAAATGGTTTGAAGTCTGCATATTCCTCCCTCATAGGAGCTTCCACTGCAATTCTCTTTTCATTAAAACTGTCTTTTGCTTTTCCTAAAGACGTAACTTCATCCTCTTCTTTAACCAATTTAGTAAGAGCTACAGGCAACTCTTGTTGATCATGAAGGATGTTATTACTAACTAAATTCTCTTCTTCTTTATTTTTCACGATTATTTCTTCCCTAGGATTTGCTACTATTATGGCAGATTCTGCTTTTGGAGAGACACTGAATGATGATCCCATTTCTGAGTATTCTAATTCTGAAAACTCTGTTAAATCTCTATCTACAAGTGGAGTTTCTGCCTTCTCTGAGAACTCTTTAGAAGCTTCATTGACAGTTTCTTGAAGTGTTCCTTCGGTGGGTAATACTGTTGACAAATTACCAAGGTATTCACGTTCTTTAAAAGAAGCAGTTGAGAGAGGAGACAGAGAAGGAAGAGAAGCAGCAGTTTCAAGCAGGACAGATGGAAAATCCTCTTGACCAGCCGAAATAGTGTTACCTGGCTGCTCCTTCAAGTCCATAATATTTTCTGTGACCATGGACAGAAAGGAAAGTTAGAGAATGCCAGTGTTCTCAGAGTTAATGCAAGTTTTATGACAGATTCAAAATAGTGTTAGTAAAGACTTACTGTTTATTAAAATGAAATGTTAATAGCAATTAATAAGTAACAATAGAGTAGACTTGAATCATTACTGAAAATATTAAGCTACTGTAAATATAACATATGCATGGCTACAGAGGCAATTACATGCTATGCAAAGACAAATCAAGTCTGAGTAAACCTCAAATGTTATCAACTAAGATACTAAGAGCTAGTTTTAGAGAAGAGAAGAATATCTGCGAAAAGAGTTTGAGTGACAGTATAGGAAAGAAGGGGCACTGGGTAATTAAATGCCATAGACTGGTATTTATTTACAGGAAAGTCTTTCTGGCTATACTCAAACTATATTTGGAGAAAGGGAATTGTAAATATGTAAATGTAATTCAAGGGTCCAAGAATTCCTTATGTACTTCCAAGTGTTCATCGGATTTTGCTCATTTTTCCCTTGGGCATACCATATCAAATGCAAATTTCAACTTTTCCAGTAGACAGACATTCTTGGAACCATGCTAATTTTTAGTAAATCCAAGCTACTCTGCATAGAGTTAACACACTAAAAAGTTAAAGTTAGAATACAGAGAGGATAAAAGGCTGGCAGAAAAGAACTTGCCTGCAGAGGAGCGTATCACAGGCTCAGATGCAGCAGGAAGAGCAAAAAGGGTCTCATCTGAAAAACAAATAGAATATAACCTCAGCAGAAATAAAGACAGACTGAAAGGAGACTAAAGATCAGAGGAGCAAGCCAGGGTTCAGTTTGTAATAAGTTAACAAAAAACTTTACAGAGAAAGGGCCAAGATCAAAAGGAAGTCAGAAAAAGTAGTGCCATTAATTCAGGTTAAATCATCATATATATTATAAAGTTAATTAAATGTTATCCATAGAACCTATCATTTTTCAAGACGCAATACAACCTGTTTATGTTAAAGAAACTTATGAATCAAAGTGGCTTTAAAATACTGTTCTACTTAACGTATCACATCCAAAGCTTTCACTCAGGTTTTCATATAGGTAAATTGTCTTGTTCTATTCAAGCCAAAAATAAAAAGCTGAATTTGAATAAAATTAACAACTACAAATGTTTAATCTTTTGTTACTGGCGTATGTTTAATTTAGAAAAACACTTTTAAAGAATTACGCATTTTCTCTTACATTCTAAGTTGTTACAGTCATTGTGCCCTGTTCTTTGAAGACATTAGTCCTGTGCCAACGTCCAAATGCCAGAGTCCAAAATACAAAAAAAATAATAATAATTAACTGCCTTTAGGACAACACTATTATTGGTGTTATTTAAAATTAACCTAAGTGAGGGCTACTTGTTATTTGTATTCACAACTAGTGAGAGACTAAGGCAATTCGATTCCAGAGCCCATTTCTTTAATCACTGTATGTTACAGAACTGAATGCTTATATCTCCTCCAAAACTCATGTTAAAGCCCCAACCTGGAATGTGACAGTATCTGAAGATGGGGACTTTGGGAGGTGATTAGGGTTAAATGCAGTCAGGGGGGGCCCTGGGCCGAGGGGATTAGTGCCCTTATAGGAAGAGACACCAGAGAGCTTGCTGTCATGCTCCCTGTCTCCCCAGGCACACATAAGAGGTCATGTGAGCACACAGTGAGATGGTGGTCACCTATAAGCCAGGAGAAGAGGCCTCAGAAAGAAATCTACCTTGCCAGCACCTTGATCTTAGACTCACCAGCCTCCAGAACTGTGAAAAGTAAATTTCTGTTCAGCCACCCAGCCTATGGTACTTTGTTACAGCAGCCCAAGCTAACTAACACACTCTAGATTGGTAATATTAACTTTGTACAATGTCATCTTGAACCTACAGTTGGGAGACCCTAAGCTGTAGGGAAAAGAAAGAAAGATCAGACTGTTACTGTGTCCATGTAGAAAGGGAAGACACAAGAAATTCCATTTTGACCTGCAGCTGAAAAATTGCTTTGCTTAAATGCTGTTAATTTGTAACTTTGCCCCAGCCACTTTGTCCCACCTTGTGCTCACAGAAACATGTGTTGTATGGAATCAAGGTTTAAGGGATCTAGGGCTGTGCAGGACACGCCTTGTTAATAAAATGTTTACAAGGAGTATGCTTGGCAAAAGTCATCACCATTCTCCAGTCTCAATAAACCAGGGGCACAATGCACTGCGAAAAGCCACAGGGACCTCTGCCTTGGAAAACCGGGTATTGTCCAAGGTTTCTCCCCATGTCATAGTCTGAAATATGGCCTCATGGGATGAGAAAGACCTGATCGTCCCCCAGCCAGACACCCATAAAGGGTCTGTGCTGAGGTGGATTAAAGAGGAAAGCCTCTTGCAGTTGAGATAGAGGAAGGCCACTGTCTCCTGCCTGCCCCTGGGAACTGAATGTCTCAGTATAAAACCCGACTGTACATTTGTTCAATTCAGAGATAGGAGAAAAACTGCCCTCCACTGAGATGTCTGGGCGGAGAGAAACATAATCTGGCCTGCGTGCACATCCAGGCATAGTACCTCCCCTTGAATTTAATTATGACACAGATTCTTTTGCTCACATGTTTTCTTGCTGACCGTTTCCTTATTATCACCCTGCTCTCCTATTGCACTCCTCTTGCTGAGATAATGAAAATAATCAATAAAAACTGAGGGAACTCAGAGACCGGTGCTGGTGCAGGTCCTTGGTATGCTGAGTACCGGTCTCCTGGGCCCACTGTTGTTTCTCTATACTTTGTCTCTGTGTCTTATTTCTTTTCTCAGTCTCTCGTCCCACCTGACGAGACATACCCACAAGTGTAGAGGGGGAGGCCTCCTCTTCACTAAGCTAAAGATCTTCTACAGTTTACACTAGAGAAAGGCCTCTACCATCAGACAATTTGAAAGAGCCTGAGAGATAACTGGAAGGTAATATTCCTTGAACAGATTGAACCTAATAAATTTAGACAATTTCATCTGGATGGACAAGCTAGACAAGGCTGATCAAAACAGATAAAAGTCCAAGAGATGTAGCTAGCATGAATATGGACTTACCTTCCAAGCGTATTACCCTTAATGAATTAGGAGAGCTAATTTCACAAGGCCCTATATATTTTAGATAAATATATACTGGGCATGATGTCATATTTAAAGGATTCTTATATGAGGGCGATGACAGGAAATTTATGATGTGTGTTTAAAAGGGTTTCCTCCAACCTAGAGCAATAGGTAGGACGGGCTATCCAGTCAAAGGAGTAACATAATGGCTTATACGATTTTTAAATAAAGTGCATATATATGTGTACACATTTTTAAAAGATTACTTGCTATGTGATCTTAAATTACAGTTTCTCATTTGTAAAATGATGGAAAGTTCCCTTCAGCTAAAATAATGAATTATTAGCTTGTATAAAACTGAAATTTGAGGGTCAAAGAGCAAAACCAAATAATTACACAGCTGCTCCACCTAAATAAGAGTTAGCCAATTCTTAACAAAATAGTTGCCTTTTTTATCTAGACAATATAGTTAAAAGCCATTAATTCAGAGGCTTGTCTATCTGGAAAGTGAATTAGAAACACGTATTATTTTTAAAATTAGTGGGAAAACAAACTACATCTAAATTTGTGCCATAATTTTGAAGTATTTTTTTTAATATACTGTACTCTTATTCTTACCTAGTACAATAATCTCTTATATTATTAACTATATTCCTGGAATTTTTCTAAGTAAAAAAGTTTTCAAATTGGTATTTCAAAGATTCATTATGTTTAAGAAAAAAAGAAAAATCTTCATTTTGTAAAATGGGATTAAATCCAGAGTTAACCATAAAACACGTACTACATTTCTAAAAGCTCTCAAAAAAAAAAAAAAAAAAATCCAGAATAGTTATCTTCTGGGCCTTCAAGAATACAGCTCAGACTCCTAATAAGGCAATCATGGGTCATGAAACTGAATTGCCTAAGTTCAAATCACAAATCCATCACTTATAACGGTGTAACTCTTAGCCTTTCTGTGCCTCATGAAATTTGTAAAGTAAGGATAATAACAGTACCCACCTCAAAATGTTGTGAAGGAGGGAGAGGAAAAAAGAAGTAACAACCTGCCCTAAGTCACAGAGCTAGGAGGCCAGAGGGTCAGAATTCAAAACATCTAATTCCCAAGTCTTTGTGCTTTGTTACTATTATTTTTTAGCTAGGCTTCCTCAAAGCATAAGATGTGCTTCATCTGAAGGATGTGTTTATGTACGAGTGCAACTGGTACAATCCTTCTCGCTGTATCAGCCCCTCAAGTCTGTTCACCTCAAACAAGGTAAATTGTCACCCAGGAAATACCTTGTAATTAGCAGAAATATTGCATTGATCAATTGCTTCTATTCTACAATATAACAACATTCATGGAAACATTGATGTGGGACAGGTACTGTGTTGAGCCGGCATATATGTTTCAGAAGTTCATTCAGTTCTCAAAACTACCCTGTAAGGTAGGTACTACTCTTACCTCATTTCACATATGAGAAAACACAGGCATTTAAATCGTATCTAATGATAATACTAGAAAAAACCTGCATTTTAAAACCACAGAACTTCTGCTTCTGGCTATGAGATTAATTACAACAGACTAATTCTTCCAATATAAGCAACTAAATATATGGGCAAAATACTGGAAGCAACTATCTTGAGACACGGACAAGAGGCAGGACAGCAGTGTGAATTCTGAGGAAAGGGAAACCTGTGAGATGACTACCCTGCTTTCTGTCTGAAGGCACATTCTGGTCTACAGTACAGAGAGAAGCCCAAGAACACCGCAAACTCTTGCTAAGCTAAGGAGACTGAGGAGTTGTCTGGAATTTGTGGGACAGGGTAACATACAAAGAAAAGCTTCACAGAAAAGGAGCTCCAAAAATCTGGATAGGGGTTCCTCTTAAACCTCTGGGTGAATACTACGCTGCATGTGCACAGCACACGACTCGGCAAAGCCTAGCCAAGAAACCTATGGTAGATCTGCAAGCTAACTGGATTATATCAAAGGTCAGAAAGTGCTGGAAGACCTGACCTAAAAATTCTGACCAGGCAGAGAGGAAAGATCTCACTAAACACCTCAAGCAGGACTACGCTAAGCCTAAAGGACACTCTAGACCAAGAGTCAGCAAACCATGGCTCATGAGCCCATACTGTATTGGAACACAGCCATGCCCATTCACTTCTGTACTGTCTATAGCTACTTTTGCACAATAAAAACAGAGATGAACAGTTTAGACAAAGGCTGTATGGCCCACAAGCCTAAAATATTTACTCTAACTGGCCCTGTAAGTCTGCAGACCCCCGCCTCTAGACCTACCCTCACTTTATAACCAAAACTTGAAAGGATCAAAATGATTTTCCAGCAAATTAACTGCCTGCCAGAACAAAGTTAAAACCACCGAATCCATGACATACAGTATAAAATAAAAAACTACTGGACA